AGTTATGTCACCAAGTAGGTATTTCAGCCTGCTGGCAGTGTGAGCATGGGAAAAGACAAGCCAGGCACTGATAGCTGGGGAACCCCTGATTCCCACTGGATCTGCTTTAATCAGCCCTCCTCACCATGAAAGATGGATGAATTCAAAAACCAGGCTTTCATTTCAATTTCTCCTGTGGAGCTGTGCCCACAGCACTTCTCCAGGGCAGGTTTGGAGGGTGAGTGAGCCCAAGAGAGCTGGAAACAAAGGAGAGCTCAGCTCTGGCTCCTGAGCTGGAAACAAAAGGAGAGCTCTGCTGCCCTACTTTGGGTGTCTCCTGAGAAAGCTCCAGCAGCACAACGAGCCTGTGCCTCCTCACAGCCCCCTACCACAGCACCTAAGGAACTTGTCAGAAGATGAAATTCTTTGTTGTCACAAAACCCAAATGTTATTCTTATTTGAGCACACTGCATGTATAAAAAAGGAAGTGGAGTGCCAGGCTTGGTCAGGAATTTGGTTAGAAAAATCAGAACCTGTGTTTAAAATACTCTCATTTATTTCAAAAAGCCTCAGTTGATGTTTTTTAGACCCTAAAATGGCAAAGAGCTCCATTCTGCCAGGCCCAGGACAGGAGCTAGTGACTTTGCTCTTGCAAATATTCCCTTTATCACAGATCACAAGTCTGTCACATCTCTGTTTTCCACAGCTCTGGGACCCTACTGTGTATAGAAAGTCAAGGACAAGAAAATGTCTTCTTTAGTGCAAATCTTCCTCCAGTGCCATGTGAGGTCAGAAATCCTTAGGGTTTTACAGACTGAGTGATACTGAACCCTACAGGAAACCCTTTAATCCTGTGTGTATCAAGAGATACCTGGTGCTCTCTCTCCAGATAAATTTTACAGCTGGAACTTTGGCTGCTGAGAATTCTGCGCTCAGAATTCAGATCCCCCCTGTCCTCACAGTGGTAGCACCATCCTTTTCCAGAGTAAAGACAGTTTAAGTGTTGCTTTTAAAGAGATGATCCTGGTTCTTCCCCTCCTGTGCTGAGCTGCTCTGTGAATTTTTGTATGATGCCTAGGAAAATGTCTTTGTGAAAGTGCATGTTTCATTTTGTGTGAGTGTTATAAACCCTCAAATCCAGCATTACCCTGATGCCAGCCCTCTGGGCCTGAGGGGGAGGCAGAGCAGCAGAAGGATTTCCTCAGGTAGGAAAACTTCCTGACTGTGAGGAGGCACCATTGCATCTTTTCTCAGGGCATTTCAGTGCAGTAAAGCTGAAGTTGCAATGTGCTGTGAACAATCATGGTCAGAGCAGTTCCCTGCTGCCAGTGATGGCTGCTCTTCTTTGGTGAAATGGCAATTTCACCAAAAATACAGATTTTCATGCTCAGGGAAGGGAAACCCCAGGTAATACAAACCCTGTTTGTACCAGCAGATCTGTTCCTATTTCACTGTGCCCTTTAGCAAGTTCCTTGCCAGAGGACTTGGATTAGAGCACTGTAGTTCCCTTAAACAGTTTGCAGCTGGAGGCTATGGAGGAGCAATTAGTCAGTTTTAAATAAATTACTTTGAAAGTTAAATTGTTCCTCATTGCAGTTCATGTACTGTTCTTTAAACACAGCACTGGAGCTCTTTGAATCAGACAAGGAGCAAGTATTGCTTCATTAGATTAATATTTTAAACTTAGAAATATGCAATTGTAGATACTAGTATTTGTTGATGGAGCTTGGATTGAGATGAAAAATTAATTGGCTTTAATTTCATTTGTAAATATCACTGAAGCTGCAAAATACTCCTTTGCTTTTCATTTGCTCAGCTCTATAAACTGTTCCTCAGGGACTGTTTAGTGATTGCAAGTCATCGATGTGCTGGGGAAAATGCCCACGCCTGGAAAACAGCATTCAGTTCAGTTTGCAGTCGTGCTCAGGCCCAGAGAAACAGAATTCTGAGCTTATTCCCTGGCTGTGCTCAGATGTGCAGAGTCAGTGACTGTAAGATTTCAGGTGCAGATCAGACACATTGCTACAGACCCAGAGATTTCCAGAATAAATGAGATTTCAGCAGAAATGTGACGTGCCAATCTCTTCCCTCTCCCACAAAAGCCCTCAAGGTTCCGATTTTTGCAGAGGAGGCTTCTTGGCTGGTTTTATAAATGAATGCCTTTTTTCTTTGTAGTCTGGAGAACGTTCAGTATCCCTACCAACTCTACATTGCTCCTTCCACCAGCAGCACAGAGAGGCCCAGCCCCAACGGTCCCGACAGACCCTTCCAGTGTCCCACGTGCGGGGTGCGCTTCACCCGCATCCAGAACCTGAAACAACACATGCTCATCCACTCAGGTGAGAAACAGCCCTGCTCCCCCACTTCCTGACCCACAGCCTTGTATAATGCAGCTTTTCCACTCACCTGCCAAGTGCCTGAGAGTTGATTTCAGAAAGATTGGGTAGAGGTTTGTGGTTGAATGCTTGTTTTGATCCCTGGAGTCTGACTGGTAGTTGTGCTCATGGATAATCAGCATTTGTGTGGACTGAAAAAAACCTGATTGCCTGCAACTCATCAGGATAAGTAATTTTCCTGAAAAAGATCTGAGATGAAATAAAATATACTTGGCCCTTGTATTGCACTAAAGAAGTAGATTGAAATTCTTCCTCTGCCATGTTGCAATTCTCTGCTGTTTCAGAGGAGACTTGCAGAAAGTGTCCTTTCTGCTTAAGAAAATATTATCTATCTGTGTCCTTGCATTTTAGGAGGCTGTATGCCTTTGGATGTCAGATTTTTTGGAATGATTGCAGGACAACTGACTTGGTTTGATTATCAGTTTAGCTCCTGCAGGTAGCACAGGCAGCCAAAGGTTTATGGGAATGCCTCCTCTGGACCTGGGTCCCCAAACTCATTTTGATTTCTAACCAAGCATGAACTCCCCAATGTCTTTGTTATTGGTGTTTTCAAGACTTGTCAGCATTATGTGGCAATAACATTGACATTTGAGGGAATAAAGGGAATATTGAAGGGTTTTTGCATTTGGCCACTAAGTCTCATGGTTTAGCATCTCCTGGTTTGAGTCTGGCTTTGAGTCTGGCTCTTGCCTGCACACAGAGGCTGAACCATTCTGGGACAGGGCAGCCACAACTGACAAGGTGTAATTTTTTCCCTGTCAACAATTATTTGTCAAATCCTTTCAAGCAAAATAGCCAGATATGTGTTTAATATTTGAAAAGCAAATTCTGTGGGCATATCAGGTGCAAAATGATCCCAAGCCTGTTGTTAAATCTGACAGCAAAGCATCTCTGGTCCACCTGACAACCCCTGGGTAAAGCTGGGAGAGCTTTGAATAGCTGGTTTAGAATAATTAACATGCAAAAGAACTCTCAAAGCTTGTAAATGTTGAAAGTGTTTTCACATGAGTAAAATGGCTAAAGAGATTTCCCTCAAACTACCAGAGGAAATAGGTGCCCTTGGACACTAGGAAAGCATGAAAAGTTTGAGCTCCACCAGACCATATTCCAGTTTATTAACTTGTTTTCACATGCTTAACAGGGCATTGCAGTGTAACCTTAACTACAGCTTTCTCTGTCTAAAAGCCCTCAATTAAAAGTTCACCTCCTGCTTTGAAAGTAAGGAAAGCAGAGTGAAAGACTGGGGGAATTAACAGCCAGGGCTGATGCACATTCAGCCTTTTGAGAAAATCTTTTTTATTCCTTGACAGCCCTATTATGAACAGAGCTCCATATTCCAGATTCTTAACCTCATGTTTGGATTTTCCCACTTTCTGCAGTTCACACTTTTTATTAAATCCTAAGGTTTTGGTGACTCAGACTTTTATCTTGTAATAGTTCTGTTTGTGTGATTAAACACTCAGCCACTCCAACATGTTGCAGAGCTCGCATATTTTAGGGTAAGAAATGAAAAATGAGCTAGGAACTGAATTTCTAGAATTAATACAAGAAAAAAATTCTAAATTAATACAAGACAAAAATGAGAGGCATGAAGCTCTGCTGTCTTAGAGAGCTGTCTGTCATGCAGAGTTGCCGAAAATCCTTGTGCAGCAAGGTTCCCACGCAATATAAAGGCTCCTACTGCCCCTTTATCACCATTCCTGCTGCATTACAGGGCCGTCCCTGTGCACAGTCCCCTTGCCAGAACACTTCTCTGAGGCCAAAGGCAGCCAGAAAAAAACATTGCAATTAAGGGTAGGCTGATAATTGCATTGTTGGGAAGCAGTCTGGCACAAGAATCTGCCGAGATCAAAGGAGTTCAAAGGCACAGGGGTGGCTGCAGCATCAGGGCCTGGTGGCTGTGCCTGGGTGTTGCTGGTCAGGGGCTCTGTACAGATCACAGATGGGACAGGACTGTGCAGGAACGTGCTCTGAGCTGGTTTATTTTTTAGTATCAGTTTCATTACAGGGTTATGGCAATGGGAAGATGCTATCAGCTCTAATCTCAGTTCTGCTGTCTCTGAAGCCTGCCTTTTGCAGCTTTCCCAAAACCCTCTGATTTTATAAATGCCCACACCTGGGGATCTTTAATCCACGGGGGCATGAGCTCATTTAAACTGTGGGGAAGGAGCTCAGGACAGGTCACAGCCATGAGTGATGGGAAGGATGAAAGTTTGACAAGAAAGCCTCACAGATATGTGTGCTTGGCAGAAAGATTTTAAAATGAAGGAATAGAAATGGAAGCAGGTTTTGATATAGAAGAAAAGAATTGCTGAGCCAGTCTTGCTGGATAACCAAGGAGGCAAAGGGTGTGTTGGTTAGAAGGGGTTTTTATGACTTAGAGCAAAGGATAAACCCACCTCAAACAAGAAGATGTTTGTACCAAGCAGAAAGAGAGCACAGGCAAACAAGGCAGCAAAGTTGCAAGTAGAAAAAAGGTCTCAGAATTTTCCACTGCAAGAAAACTGAAAAACAACTTCTAGCTTAAACTGTAATGTACTGACTGTTAGTGATTGGAGAACAGTAACATGGATATGGTAATTACAGTAGTTATGATAGGCTATAGATAATAGTTAAGGTATAGATTGGTTCTACTGTATTGAGATGCTCAGCAAAGAAAAGTATAGAATGCATTGTAACCAAAAGAAAAGTATAGAATGCATAGTAACCAAAACCAAAGGGTCTCCAGGCCTGCAGCTGGAGCTGACAGCTGTGGGCACAGCTCTGTCACCCACCACCCTGGACTGCTGTAACATTTTGGATGGAATAAACTACATTTTGGATACAATAAGCTGCATTTTGGATACAATAAACTGCATTTTGGAGAGCCCCTGGAGTCCCACATCCCTCATTTGGACTCTTACAGTGGCGCCCAACGTGGGGCACCATCAGTAAGAGCCTGAATGAGGGATGCAGGTGTCCAGGCCTGCCTGCAGCTGGAGCTGACAGCTGTGGGCACAGCTCTGTCACCCACCACCCTGGACTGCTGTAACATCTTGGATGGAATAAACTGGATTTTGGATTCAATAAACTGCATTTTGTGTACAATAAATGCATTTTGGAGAGCCCCTGAAGTTCCACATCCCTCATTTCGGCTCTTACACATGAGATTTCCTGGAGGTTGTCCTGAGGGAGTGTAGATCAGCTCTAATTGTTTCTGCCTTTTTAAAGTTGACAGAGAATCTCTTCCTGGAGCAGGGCTCTGCTGTGAGCCCCCAGAGCTGCTGTCTGGGGAGGATTGTGCCCTGGGCTCCCCAGGTGAACGTGTTTGTGCTCTCTCCCGCAGGCATTAAACCCTTTCAGTGTGACCGCTGTGGGAAAAAGTTCACCCGCGCTTACTCGCTCAAGATGCATCGCCTGAAGCACGAAGGTAAACGCTGTTTCCGGTGCCAGATATGTAGTGCCACTTTCACTTCCTTCGGGGAATATAAACACCACATGCGGGTTTCCCGGCACATTATCCGCAAGCCTCGGATTTACGAGTGCAAAACATGCGGCGCCATGTTCACCAACTCTGGAAATTTAATCGTTCACCTGAGGAGCTTGAACCATGAAGCGTCAGAGCTAGCAAACTACTTCCAGAGCAGGTGAGGTGCACAGCAAAAACCTAACAGGGAAACTTGCTTTTTTCTTTTTTTTCTTTTTTTTTTTTCCTTTTTTTTTTCCTTAGATCATCATTTCCTGCTTTCAGGGCAGCCTGCTGTGCCTCTCATCAGGCTGCCAGCTAATTGCAGTCAGATTGATTCCTGCTCCACTCTCTGTTGTATCTGATCTGTCTTACAGCATGGCAGCTATATAGGAGGCTACTGAAGAATCCAGTGACATGCAGAGGCTGGTTCTGGGTTATTTAATTTCTCTTTTCAGTAGTACCTATGGCCAGGCCAATGGTGTGAAGCCACAGTGTTCTGTCCTACAGTATCTGTGATTTTATATTGATTTGCTTTTCAAAATCTTGTACATAGTCTGTTCACTTTCATAGGGCACAGACTTCCTACTTCATTTAAGTGCTTGCTTAACACTGTGGAAAGATTGCATGACTCCAGACCTTCTCCTTTCTCATTTTCTAGATAACATTACTAAATGGTTAGACTAATAGGTTTGGAAATAGTAAGGGCCACTTGGACATTTTTTATCAGGGCACCAAAGACTTGGCATATCTCACAAATGCACTGCTAAAGACTATTAAAAGAGTTCTGAGGTATCAGACGAGCACTGTGTTCTCTCATTGATATAAATACAATTGTTGGAATTTGAGATAGAAAATACAAAAGTTGGATGAGAGAAATGGAAGACAGGAAGATCTTCCAGCTCTTAAATCTTAGAGAGAGTGCAGTTTGGTGTGTGTAAGTCATCTGCCTTCAGCCATGCAAAAAATGCAATGTTCTGAATGTTACAGCACCACAATCCCACCCCTCCTGATTTCCAGACATTATTCTTCTTCCCATAAAAACATTTGAGTATTTTGTTCTATTTTATTAACTCAGAAGTGACGTAGGATGAAAAAGATTGAAAAACAAAGCAGGAAAGCCAGTGGCTGTTCTTTCAGCAGAATATTGTTTAAAAGTACAAGTGCTTCATATCTGTGGGCTTACACAGTTCTTGTTCTTGGCTCTTGTGCCAAAACTGGAGCAAACACTCTGAGGGTGATGCCCTGGTTGTGGGAAGCACTGCATTGTTGTCAGCAAATTAAAGTCACATTAAAGGCTGTGATTTAGGTTGCCTGTAGCCCTTCCCTCAGTCTGATTTGACAAACATGAGGTTTAGCAGAGCTTGGGTTGGAGCAGTGAATGCTTCTGTCCTTTAAGGTTTTCTTTTAACTGAGGCATTGCCAGGTGAACCCAAGCATGCAAATGTGCATATATGTAATACATGGATATACTTGTCTCAAGTACAAACTTCATGTCTGGTGCTGAAAACATGCAAAGAAATTGATTTCCATTAGGTCCTCATGCTCTGAAAATACAACTGGAGTGTTTGGTAGGTTTTCTTTGGATCCACTCAGCCCTCAGCTGTTAAGAGTGCATAGCACAAGAGTTGTGCAGGAAGGATTAAAAGGGGAAGGAAATGCAATTCCATGCTTTTCTCAGGAGTGTGATAGGTGTCAGGATCACACCCCCAGTGCAGCTGGCAGCTCCCTCTGCCTTCAGCTGCCCCACCTGTGCCCCTGGCTCCAGCCTGCCCTCTCACAGGGAGGTCCTGCTGCTGCTCTGGGGGATGCTGTACCTCAGACATGCCAAGGGCCACATTTTGCCAGTGCTGAACTCATTTTTGTTTCTGTTTTTAAAGCCTGAGTGCTCCCTTTTTTTCAATGAGGTTTGCAGTGCCAAATGTGTTCCAGACATTAACTTGCATTCTCATCAAGGTGATACAATCTAATCATAAGAAGTTGCTGCGTAGGAAATACAGATGTGAAATAGATGCCACTGAATAAATTCTGTGTGTGTGGAAATGAGAAGCAGGTTATGGTGCTTAGTGGGCTATGGCAGTGCCATGATCTTGGCCAATGTGAAATGAGTTCCTTTGTTCTCTGTCAATGCTTGTGTGCTGGAGCTGCTGCCGTGGTGTGGGAAATGACATTTCTCTTCTGTCCTTTACCCCTCCTGCAGTGACTTCCTAGTACCGGACTACTTAAACCAGGAACAAGAGGAGACCCTCGGGCAGTATGAGCTAGGGGAGCATGGCTTTGAGAGCAACTCTTCTGTCCAAATGCCTGTCATTTCACAGGTGTCATCTACTCAGAATTGTGAAAGCACTTTCCCCTTGGGGTCTCTGGGTGGGTTGGCAGAGAAGGAAGAAGATGTGCCAGAGCAGCCAAAGACTAACACCACTGCTGAGGCAGCCGCGGGTGACCCTCCCAAACCGGAGCTGTCATCTATTACTATCGAATAATTCATGGTTTGGTTTCATTTTTGTTCTTTGGAAAGTGCCTGTGTTTGGTCCTGTACATTTTAATTTAATTTTTTTAAACGAAAAGTGGGGAGATTTTCCCCTTTTTACTTTGTAAGCTACGCTTTAAACTGAAAACTGCGACAGATGTTACGTTATTTTTCATGACTGAATGGTCACTTCTGTGAAAATATTTAAGACTGATTGCACAAAAAAAGATCTTGTCAGAACATCATGGAAGCTGTGATATACTTCTAAAGAAGAACAACTGATTCAGATCACTTTAACTATTCCTTCTTCCACAGTTAGAGCAGCTCATTAAGTTTCTCTTGCTTCTGCAGGCCCTCTGGTTAAGGGAGAGAAATCAGAGGAAACCTTTTTCAAATGATAAACAAAAGGATGCATTGGAAACCATGATTGAACAGTTTTGACTAGTTTTGCGTGGATGCTTTAATCTTCTGCATAAAGAAGTGACACTTCCTATATGTGCCTGCTGTTTTTCAAAGCCCTTACTGTGCCCTGTGCTTGGAAATGGTGAGTGGTTTTGAAAGGAGCAGTCACACACTTCTTCAAAACACACATCCCTGTCCAGCCCAGATGAATGCCAGGTATTCCTACTTCTTCTGTTCCAGTCCTTTTAGAAACTGCTTGATCAAATAGCCTAAACAGATCAGGCCAGCTGAGGCTGGGCATGCAAAGTCTAAAGGTGCCCCAGGAATTGGGAATGATGGAGAAGTGTTCAGCCTGACAAACATCTCCTGACTGTACCTGTCTGTAGATGGGGAACCACAAAGGAAAATGAAGGTTTTCCCAAACTGAAATTCTTAAACCATGGCCAGATTATTTGCAGTTCTGATCATTGCCCCCTCACATACACACTGTGTTTTTACTAATCTGAGATTTAGCTAGAGGGAGTTTACAGATTGGAAAAAATAAGCTCTTTTGTGCATTATTGCACTTTTTTTTTTTTGTTTATACATATGTATGTATAGTTTCAGAGATTTTTACTAGCCTGCTTTGGATAAAACAAGCAATTTATTCTCTCTAAGGATAACTTTCTAACCAACAGGGGGCTGTTTACAAAAAGCCTATAGAGCAATGATGAATTGTTCCTGTTTCAAAACACTTTAAATCCTTGCCAACTCGGTTTATTAAAGGCCATTACTCCAGCTACACACACAGCTCAAGCAAGCAATAAACTGAAATATTTGCAATTTCATTTTTCCATATTTAGAAAAAGCTACAAATGGAGGGTGTGGGATTTTCAGAGCAGTGAGTCTTGTTTGGTCGAGGCTGTTTGGGCTCAAGTACTGCTTTGAAACCTAAATTAGGAAGTACATTAGGAGATTTGTGATTTTTCTTACAGCTTCTGAAGTTAACTCAGTGTTTGATGCCAAATGCCCACGGCCTACAGATGATGTGCTGAGTGAGTAGGTATTGCTTGATCTCAGTATTCCAAAGGCATGATTTACTCCCTTAGTTTTGAGTCTTTTTTTTTTTGTAAATTGCTATTTTCTGTTATTTTCCGGATTTGTTTTCTGCAAACATGAGGAGGAAATGAAAGCAATAGAGAAAGGTTGCTCCTGAAGAAACAGAAGACACAAAAGTCGTATTATATTGCACATCAATTTGTATTCAGTCAGCCTAGGCAGCTCTGATACTCTCTGAGACTGAGTTCTTTCTATTAATAGCCAGCTTTTGTAAGGAAAAAAGTTTATTGACCTTTGGAAAGTGTTTAAAGGGTTTCAGTGACTTCAGCAATTTTTCTCTTTTTAGGTTAAACCCACATATTTTAGTTAAACAGAGTGAAAACAGTTGGGATTTAAGTACTTTCCAGGTTGCTGGAATGAGGTTTCTCCACCAGATCCAAAGGGTGTTTTAGAAACATGCTGCAAAGAACTTCTGTGCTGCAATTCAGTCTTGATTATATCTACCTTTGTGAGGCTTCTTAAAAGGGCTTGAAGGAGAAATGCTTTTTCTGGGCTGGGAAATAGCCCAGTGCCTGCTGATGAGCTGAATTTAGAGACCAGTTCCCTTCCACTTGTGATTTCTCTGAGAAGCCAGTGAGACAAGACAAAGCCTTTTGCTGAGCTTTGTTCTGACCCAGAGGGCTGCAACACCGAGCTCAAACCCAGCGTTTTCGCTTTTTCCTGAATGTTCCACAGGTAAATGAGAGTCCTTTGTGAGTCATGTTCTGAGCAGGGCTTCACCCAAACCACATTTCCTGACTGCACAGATGAAATAATCAAAGGTGGGCAGGGATGAGGTGGAGGACACAATCTGATCATTAAAATCTGATCATTTTCATCCCTGAACTATTTTGCTAAAGAGTTCATTGGTGAGAAGGTACAAATACACCACAGACATACCTGCATATTGGATTTTTAAGACTTAAAATTTTGAGTCAGAAGGCAAATTGCTTTCAGAATACCAAAGAGAAAGGGGAAAGTTACAAAGACTTTACAACTCTGATCTGTTCTTCCTGGAAAAGAAATAAGGATCATTAACACTGAGGTACAAGGCAAGGCCTGGGGTTCATTGTTCATTGCACCGTGTGTTACACATTATCTTTCCAGCCTCCTAATTTCTGGGGAACATCTTAATTTAGTTCTCACTTTTCAATCTGGTTCAACTGGAGGAATAATAGAGTTCTTGGAGGATTTTGTTTGATTGGTTTAGGGTTGAGTTTACTTGTTAATTTTCCTGTCTGTAATTGTTTCTTGTTAATATCTCTTTTGTCCATAGAAATGAATACGGTTTAAATGCAAACACCTTTTTATTCCTCCTCTCTAAAACTTGTTGGAAGTGTTCAGTTCTTTGAAATGCTGGTGTTCTCCACAAGAGAGATGTAAAAACACAGGACATCTTCAAACAATTTCTGTTGCTCATGTGCTTGGATTCCAAACAGAGCAAGAGAGAGAACTAAAACAGAAAAAAACTTGCCTTAAACTACACTTGGGATTAAACCTAAACCATCCATTTCTTTCAGCACATTATCAGAGGGGTTTGAATTCTGGGATGCATTTTCTTATTTCTTCTTCGCTTTTTTTCCCTCCCTCCCAAAACAATCCATTATTTAGTGTGCATTTCTGTGTCTGCTAGACAAGGGTCAGGGCTGATGTGTTCAGCCCTCCTGCTGCAAGCAGAGTGAGCCCAGGTGGTGTCCCCACAGCTGGAGTTCAGTTGTCAGGCTCGCAGAGACCACGGCCAAGTCTCTCATACTGAGAGATCAGTAGACTCGGGTATTGGAAATGGTTCTGGCTTCACATGGATTCTGAGTCGAAAAGATGTGAATTTAAACTTTTTAAAAAAGTAATAGCTGCCAATGCAGTCAGATATATTTTATAAGACTATGATCCCTATATGTCCCCTGTGGGATGGAGTTTTATTGTTTTTAAGCTATGGTTTAAGGTTTTATATGAGGGCTTCAGGCACTTCTTGGTCGCTGGTTCCACCCTGCAGCCCCGGGTGGGAGGGCTGAGGTGAGTGCTGGTCTCTCTCAGAGACAAACCAGGAAGCATTTTATATGCAAATCCAGCAGGAGCTTTGTGCACCCTGCAGGGATGAGAGAATTCAGATGGAGGAGCACCTGCTGCTCCTCCATCCATTGCAACTTCCACACCATCAGAAAATGGCAAATAGCTGATTTTCATTCAGGCCACTCACGTTCCAGTTTTGCTCACAAGGTGAAATCCTGTTTTGGAGGGTTCTCATCTCCAACTGTAGACATAATAAATCCCATAGCATCGTGATGATGGCAGGTAAGAGGGTTCAAGACAGTACCTCACCACATCCGAGGTACCTGGTAAATAGAGTGGGTTCCAAGTATTTGAGGAAATGTACCACAAAAGAAACAAATGTGAATTTTTTTAGTGCAACAGTACTTACTGCTCTGGATTTTCGTTCACTCCGTGTGCTAGCACAGTAACTCCGTGTCCCACAGCTCTCAGCTACAAATCTGGTTGCACTAAAAAAAAAAATGGAATCTGGTGCTGCCAGCCTGTGTGGCAACTGTACCTACAGTCTTCCTGAGGGTTGCTGAAGTCCCCAGAAGAGTGATTTTGTTTCACCATTCATTTAGCTGTGCATGCTTTTGATATTCTGACCTGTAACCCTGGCTACACCGAGTCCTTGGACAGCTTCCTTGCTCTGCTCTGCAGTGCCTTCACTCGAGGTGCTGCCCATGGTGAAACCCCAAAGAGGGAAAAGTGGAAGCTGGAGGGAAAAAAAAATGTGAATTAAATTATTGTTGGGCTTCTTTGTGCATTTTAGTAACAGTGAAACCCCCTTAACTGTGCCAGTCTCCAGTCACCAGCCGTATATCAGTCATCATCTCATCCTCAGTACAGCTTCTCTTGTTGATGCTGGCCACAGCTAGATTACTTGGCATGTTTATTGACCTAACAGAATTGGTTTTGGGTTTTGGTTTTGTTTTTTAATGTATACGATGTTTAAATACACTTCACATTTTATATAATACTATCTGGCTATTAGTATTTTTCAGGAACCATAGTTCTTGGTGGCTATATATATTTTTGTGACTTTTTTTGTAAACTAAGTGCCGTTTCAACGTTACAATCATTTTTAGAGTTATTGTAATCAATGTGAATATCATGTTTTTTCAAATCTGTTCTGAGCCTGTAGTGTTTGCTTTGTGATCATATGTGTAATGTATATATTCTGTATAGTTACATTGTATTGAAATACTAGCTTGTTTGATATAAGAAAAGTATGTATTGGGTACCTTTTTGCTAGCCTGGTTGTTTAATCTTTAAAAAAAAAGTTCCAAAATACAAAAAAAAAAAATCTCCAAACTGGTCCCATTATAGGTCAAAATTAAGGGGGGAGAAAAATTAGTTTTGAGTGTCTTTGGATAGAAATATGAAGCTAAGATTTTTCATTAAAATATTAATGTTTTATGGAGTATATCTTTGCTTTGTGTGGTTATTTAACCCTGCCAGTGTTTGCCTTGCAGTGCAGCAGAGTAGCCTGGACCTTCAGTGAGAAGGTGCAGCCCTGTCCCTTGAGCCACATCATATCTCAGCTTTTAACCAGTCCCAAAAGAGCTGATGTGAGGAGAACTCACTGGTGCTGAAAGGTAGTTTAAAACAAAATTAACATTAATAGATGGATGGAGAAGTTACATGAGTAAAGAGTATTAAGAATAAAGCACACATTTCGGTTTCATTTTCCTTTGTCTGTTAGATTGCCTTCTGTTCACGTTCTCTTTAGACCTCATTCTGCAAAAGTGCTGGGGCCAGCTTTCCTTGGGGTGTTGTTGATGGAAAGCCAAGGGGGAGCCTGATCAAATCAGCCCAAGCAGAAGGGGTTTAACGTGCAGTAGGCACTCCCTGCAGTGGCAGCTGTGAGCTCCAGAGGAGTCCTGAAACAGAGTGTGGGACTCAAAATCCATCTCTGCTGTTTCTACAACCCTGGCAATTAAAATCCCTTTCCTCCTACAGCCCCACCTGTGAGTGAGCTGCAGTCCTGGATCAACAGGGAAATGGCAGCTTGGGAAGTGCTTGGCTGAGGAGCTAACTCTGCCCTGCACCAGCTCAGTACTGAGGGCTGGGGTGATTTATCCACCAGCTGCAAACTGTGCTCAGTGTCTGACACAGGAGGGAGGCACAGAATGGAAAAGCTCTCCCTGGTGCAGAGCAGCTGGAGCCATGATGAGCATAGAGAGTTCATGGGCTGGAGAGTTTCTGAATCCTGAGGAACATGAACAGGGACAGGTGTCTGAACCGGAGCATAACTGGAAGAGGGAGCTCATCTGGTGAGGGCCCTGGACAGGATGCAGTGTGACACACAGAGCATTGGGTCTCCCATGAAAGCAGAAATTTATTTCATGAAGCCAGGTCACATTTGGAGTCAGCAGTAAATTCTGGGTGACTGCAGAGGCACACACAGCACCCCAGAGCTGGGCAGGACCCAGGACATCCCTCTGTCTGTCCTGAGCAGCCCAGACCCTGCCAGGGGGCTCAGAGACCCTGGCACAGAGCCCAAAATGCCCCTGTGGGTTTGATTATGACCCATGGAGCAAATTACCAACCTTAGATGAAGATCTGCAAGCCACAAACAAATTAAGTAGAATGACAGTGAAATTATCACGAGGTGAAAAAGTAGATTTGGGAGTTTTTTAGAATGGAGGTTCAGGGGGCAAGATGGAGGGATCTGGGCATGTCCAGCCTTTCTCCTTCTTCTTCTTCTTCTTCTTCTTCTTCTTCTTCTTCTTCTTCTTCTTCTTGGCCTCCATCTTCTGCTGTGATGGTGGCACTTACAGATTGGTTTAGAGTAGAAGCTCACTGTCTAACATAGGTGATGGGTATTGGGAAGTAATTGTAAACATTGTACACGCAGTTTTTGGTATAAAAAGATAACACTGCCCTGGGGCAGGCAGAGTGCCTTGGGCTGTCCTGCTGAGCAGACCTCAGCTGGACAGGAGAAAGAGTTTTACAGACATGAGTGGATGGTGGAGCTGTGAATTCACAGCACCCAGAGCTGGACAGGCACCCCTGGTGGATGGCAAGGCCTGGGCTGGTGACTGGAGCAGGATTTTCCAAAGCACAACCATGTATTTTATGTGAAACATCTTTTAGGCACCCTTAACAAAGCAAGTGCACACTATTGAGGCTTTTTGTGTGGCTTTCTTGGAGCATTCAGCATTTTATTCCCGACAGTAATGAAGGATTATTTCTTTTGCTTAGAGGAGAGTGTCAGAGCTAAGACCAAACTCAGCTGCTGAGAATGTGGCAGAGCAGGGATGAGAGTTCTCCCAGGGCTGATTGCATCATTCCTACCCAGTGATATCCCCAGGGAAATGAAGCTGCTGAGAGAAACCTGGCTGGGGTTGTGCATGAAAACAGTTTAAATGCAAACACCTTTTTATTCCTCCTCTCTTAACTTGTTGGAAGTGTTCAGTTCTTTGAAATGCTGGTGTTCTTCACAAGAGAGATGTAAAAACACAGGACATCCTAATTTCTGTTGCTCATGTGCTTGGATTCCAAACAGAGCAAGAGAGAGAACTAAAATAGAAAAAACTTGCCTTAAACTACACTTGGGGTTAAACCTAAACCATCCATTTCTTTCAGCACATTATCAGAAGGTTTTGAATTCTGGGATGCATTTTCTTATTTCTTCTTAGCTTTCCTCAAGCTGCATCTCCAGAGGAGTGAGGTAACATCACAACATCTCCCCTGTGAGAGCTGAGGTTGCTGTGAGACCCTGAGCATGCAGAGCAGGGAGCTGTGCCCGTGGCAGAGCCTTTCTTGCAGCCCCGAGGTTGGGGTGCAGTCCTGTGGAGTTTGGGGTCTGTTGGCAGCTTTTCAGGGCACACCAACATGCTCGAACAGCAGAGTCACTGCCAGGAGCCCTGATTTCCTCAGCTGCCTTTCACAAATCCTTGAGAAATAGGCCACAAACAGCCCGAGTGAGATCTGTGTGTTTGAAAACCACTCTTGAGTTAATTGCCTTTGAGCATGAGCTGCCTTTGTCTCACTCACAAGGTCTCGGGTGAAGATAAGAGAGCAACTCACGGGGCATCTGTTTGTGTATCTCCCTTGAACCTTTACCTCCCTGTTGAAGTTTGATCTCTTCTATCCAAATTATGAAATTCATGAATTAAATGTGTGGTGAGTGGCTGTGCCCTGGCTTTGACACACACCCCTCTCATTCCAAACCCCACTGGATTCCTGTGGGAGTGTCTGTAGGAATGCATGCACTGCAGCTGGCTGAACTGCATTCCCAGGCTCCCCATGCCTCCCTAGGTGCCCCAAATCTGTGCTTTGCAAAGCTCCAGCACTCAGAAGGTGACAGTTGTTTCTCACAGAGTGCTGCCTGCTCCCCTGAAGGTGCACACACAATGCAGGAGGAATTCTGAACAATGACCATGTGAAAACAGCAGTTGACCAACTCCTTCCTTGCTGCTTCCCTCAGGAGCAGCTGGTACTGCTGGCTCCTGGGAAATGATGAAATAAATGGGTTAAAAGCCCAGACCTCCACCAAGAGCCTTGCTCTGCTCTGGTTTAGTTTCTTTGCTCTGGTTTAGCCCTTACAAGCTTCTCTTGATTTTGGAGAAGGAATGAGAGATGTGGTTTCCTGCCATCCCAAGCCCATCTCTAAACAAGCTTCTCCTTCCCAGGGAGGCAGGACTTACAGACAAGACACTGTAAGAAGCAGATATAGTTTATATTTTCTGGTCTTGAAGGGTTTTCTTTTTTTTTTTTGAGGAGGCAGTGAGCATTGATACTTCATCATATTGGTACTTCAATATATTTGTCTCTTTCATTTTTTTCCCCTTGCAGAATCTGACATTGTCTGGACTATTGTAAAGAAAAAAACAATGTCAGCTACAAACAGATTGCTTTTGAGTATGAAGGAGCATAAGTGGAGTAAGTACTGGGTACAATTCACTGATGTCAAAATAAAGTCCTTCATTATTTGTTGGCTTGAAGCATTTCTGTCTGCAGTGCTGAATGCCTTTCAGAACACCTTGGGCCCAGGAGATCTGTGAGCATGGCCTGGCATTTGTGCCTCCAGCAGGACAGAAAATGAGAGGTGAAATGGATCCTTTAAATTCTCTGGGGGCAGGAGAAGCCTCCCTGCCAGGTGAGCACAGCCCTGGTCCAAGGGGATGATCAGGAGTGCTCAGGAGGACAAAGAGGAGTTTGGAGGAGCCGACTCTGAATTCCAGGAGCAATTTTTGGTGTTTGGGTGAAGAGACACAAGGAGAAAGGATCCCATGGGGTCTGATACTCCATCATTGCATGGAAACAGCCCACTGGCTCTGGAAGAACAAGGTAAATTACAATTCCAGCCACTGGAGCATTTAAATAGTCTGCCTTGCCACAAATTGAAATTGCTTCTTAAGAGCAAACCCATTTTGTGAACTTTGCTTTTGCCAGTAGCTTCTCTGACTCAGCAGAGTTTATTTTATAGCCTGTGTATTAGTGGGGTGCCCAGAACTTTTTGGAGAGTTTCTGTGCATAAACAGACCCTGTGTAAAACAAAACTGGAGAGAAAAGACACAAGACTAATAGACAACAGAGCTTAGAAAACCAAAACATCTCTCCAGGGTAGGACTTCATCTTCCCACAATTTAAAGGAGAAAAATAACAAAAATCCTAACAAAACCTTTTATATAACTTCAGTGTTGCAGTGATCAGTTTCAGGGTTGACGTGACAGCAATTACAAACAAGAGTTATGCAACTGCCTCGTTGATGGAATTGAAATTAATACAGAGCCAGACAAAAAGAAATGGCTTTGGGTTGGATTGTTGTGCTTGAAAGAAATAAAAAAATGTTCAGGTCAGCCTCTTTTGAAAAAGTGAGCATAAGCCCAGGCTGAGAAAGCTCCTTGAAGAACACACAGAGTGAATTGCTCTTAAAAATTCTCTTTGTGTGTGTTAGAGGCAAAATTGTGTTTCTCTTCTAAGGTTTACAGCTCATGGTTTTTTAATCTGACTAGTTCAGTATTTTAATTTTGCTCACGTTCCTTTAAGTGTCCTTTTCTAACAGCATTGAGCAGAGCATCCCTGGCTGTTGTGATTGTGGCTGATTCACTGCGGGAGAAGCCCACGCTCACGTGTGCACCCACACCATCCCCTCCACTCTCCATCTGCACCTTGGAGTGGAGCTGGAGGCAGCATCTGGCATCCCAGGCAGGAATGAATCCTGTGGGTGAACACTGTTTGAGAGGGCTTGGATTCATGGAAAGAAAATCTGGGAAAATCCTGAGTCTAACTGGAGAATCCTGAGTCAGAGCCCGGCCTGCATTGACAGGAGCTGTTCCTGGCTCCTTCCCTGAGATGTCTCTGCTGAGGCAGGGTGCAGTTACTGCTCAAACAGCAATGGTTTGTGCAGATGTCTTGGTTTCAAAAGCCAGGTGTCTGCTGAGGAAGGCAGGAGC